TTTTTTTTTTTTTTTCAGAGGGTTGTACTATTTAGCCATATATTCATTAGAGGGTTGTTCTGTGTAAGTGTATAGTCATACTCCTTACACTGTATTGCATCCTGTTATACATACCCCCTTATTATAATACAATGCATGTACATAGACTTGGCAAAAAGTTAACTCAACCTGCGAACCTGACCCAGCATAACCTGAAGAGAGCGGGTTAGGGTTCCCTACCTAGTGACCCGAACTAGAAGGCCACCTGACCCAACCCGACTTGAAATCTTTTCAGGTCGGGTCGGTCTGGGCCATCTCTTTTCAAACCAGTGTTGACCCAAATTGTTGAATTGTTTGAACCAGACGGTTAAACCCATATTTTTTGTAAAAACAAAGAAACTTGACATGACCCAAAAATGAAATGACTCAAAATTGCCTTGACCTGACATGAACCCAGCCCGACCCTAATGCTAGGTCTACATGTGCATTATCTCTAAAAATTGAATATTCTGGTGTTTAAAATATCAGATGTTTGAGCTGGCTGATTTTTTTGAGAGAAAGGTTAACTTTTTATAGATAGAAAAAAGAGTACATGAGATGATGTACAAAGCAGACTACACGCAGGTTATCCCTGTGTATACCAGATTTTGCTAAACTATTTTCTACAGAGTGATCTATAGCCTCATCCAAATAGTGAGCCAATCTCCAAAGGTCCTCCTTCCTTCTCCCCAAGCCACTTTATTGTGTTGCTGGAGTCCCCTTTGATTACTAACTCTGTCAAGCCTGGCTATCTTGTAATACGGATACCCGTTAAAGCAGCTAAAATTTCAGCCATTGTGGAATCTGCAGTCCCAATTGGTCCACTAAAAGCCCACATAGGGCATCCATCCCTCCTCCTAAACACACCACCAATTCCTTCCGTTCCTGGGTTTCCAATTGCATTTCCATCAAAGTACAGAATCACATCTTTCTCCTCTCCTGATTGGGGGAGCCTTTTCACTCTTTGAAGGACTGGGAGAGGAGAATAACAATTCCACCATATTTTGCTGAAGCATGTTCAAAGTAATTCCTTTGAAACTCTCCGAATTCAGCACCCACAGATTGCACAAGTAAGTTATATGAGAAATCAGGTCTGCAAAGGTTCTAGCTTTGTTGTAAAAAATGCGATTGTTTCGTTCTTCCCAAGTTCCCAAACATCCCACAATACTGTTGAGCCACCGTGTGCCAGTAAATTCTCCCCCTTTTACCTAATCCTCTTCCTTGCCATTGTCTTAAGAAATCTTCAATATGTTCTGGGAAAACCCAGCTGTAACCAACTAGGTTAATAAAATAAAGCCAGATTTTCCTTGTTACTGGACAATGTAAAAGGAGATGTTCAGCCAATTCATCATTACTGAAGCATAGGGTGCAAAATGGGGAGAGATGCACAACCTACCTTTGTGCTTCTTCTGTAATAAACCACAGGTGTTTATTCTTTTCAGGCAAGCCTCCCACACAAAAAAGAAACTCTAGAGGGGATGTGAGCTATCCATACTCTTCTAGAAGGGAACCCTGTGCTTGTGTCACCCGACACCAAGGCTCTGAAAAAGGAATTAGTTGTGAACTTACCGGCAGGATGGAGCTTCCAGATTCGTTGGTCTTGTCGTCTTGGTTTGAAGGGGAAAGATATACCTTTCTCAAGGCATGTAATAGATCTGCTAGATCATCAATCTCTACATCCCTTAAGGGTCTTCTTAGGTTTAAGTTCCAGCTTGAAACAAGGGTTGAGTCTGAAATGCAAGAGGCTAAGGTTGCTTCTTTGTCTTGGGAGAGGTTAAATAAGCAGGGAAAGTTGTTAGCTAATGTGTTTTCCCCCCACCAAAGGTCAGTCCAGAATTTTATTTTAGCCTCGTTCACTACTTTATATCTAATAAAAGAAATAAAGATATTTGAAATTTAAAAAGGTTTGCCAGATTTCTCAAATACTTGGTCAAATCTTTAAGTTTTTAATACACTTGGTCAAATCTTGACAGAGAACCACCCCAAGTTTTTTTTGTTGACTTAGTAAATTATTATTGATTTCTGAAAAAGAATGTTCTTTATACAAGTGAAGCGTGCCAAGCACCTCAATAGAGTTTAAATTAGCCCTGCTACCTAACCTGTTAGTACCTCTTATCTTTGATTACATAGACACTCAAGAAGTTTTCATTCTCCCTTACTGCGGCCATGGTTTGATTGAGTTTAATAGTGCAAATACTCTCTCTCTCTCTCTCTCCCCCCCCCCCCCCCCCCCCCCAAAAAAAAAAAAAAAAAACTTTCATCATCTTGTCTACTCAGTTCAGTTTCTGGGTGAAGTGCAGTTATTCTCAAGTTTTAGAATATTGAATCCCAGTAAACTGACACAAACCATAAGAATTTGAGTGAGCTTTAAGGCATATCTTGTTGATGATGCCAAGTGAGCTCATTTCTGTAGATGCTTTTGGTCTCATGTTCTGTGACTCAGAAATAGTTAACAGAAGTTACTAATCCAATTTGAACCTTGTCTGAATTGATGGAACTTTGACTCCTTCATTTGCAGGAATCTTACCTTGCACAATATTGATTCCTGGCCTATTTTTCATCCCTGAATCTCCAAGATGGCTGGTGAATATCATTTACCATGAAATAAATCCTTAGCAATCAAAGTTGAAATTTTGTTTTAGTCTTTAATATTCTCTTTCTCATTATATCCAGGCAAAAATGGGTATGATGGAAGATTTTGAAGCTTCTTTGCAAGTTCTACGGGGATTTGATACAGATATTTCTGTTGAAGTTAATGAGATAAAGGTACCAAGCTAAATTGCTTCAACTTCAATGTGGTTCCCTCTCAAGCTAGTAAGCAAGCAGATAATCAATTGTAAGAAAATTGTTTGGTTGATAGGGCAATATATCAATTCTGTGTTCATATGAACCAATTCAATAGAATGACCAAAGACTTAAGACTACTTAAGTCATCTGATAACCTTGAAACCATCCATATTTCTTCCTGGTGTCATAATCCTAGTCATTGGCCACCTTCTCCTCACCACCACTGCCACCAGTACCATCATCTGTACCATCCTATACAAGTTGGATTCGCTAGAAACCCCTGGCCCTGGCATAAAAAAGGAAAGAAAGTTTACTCAATCCGAGGCTATATCTTCTGTTAAAGATTGAGAAATCAAACAAGTTATTCAATGGAAGTTGTAATTAATTCAATAAAGAGCCTGATTGGATATGCCAAAGAGTGGTGTCCATATGAATATTGAGTCTTAGTCTCTCAAGTATCATAGGAATGATTTTTGGATTGTGGCATCTATGGAGATGCAAAGAAGTATATTTGATATTGAATAATGTGGGTGTATGAGTTAATCCTGTATGAATCTCAGGTGCCATGGGAATGGATTTTTCAACTAGCCAATCCCTCTAAACCTTTGAATAAAGCTTGATTAGCAACACTCACCACTATCACATGTATCCATCTTGAATGTTTCACATTTGTCCTCCAATTTTTATTAAATCAGTTTACTAGTTGACTAAATACAAGTAGACTAAAAGTAAAAGCACGTGAAAGATATGGCTGATTTTTTGTTTGTTTATATGGCCATTCACCATCTTTTCTTTCAAATTCTCTTTTTGCAGAGGTCTGTAGCATCAACAACTCGTCGAACTACCATTCGGTTTTCAGATCTTAAGCGAAAAAGATATTGGTATCCTTTGATGGTATTAACATTTAATCGACTCTTCTGGTTTTCATTTCTGTGGTGGTGTTCTCTCAATCTTGAAAGTGGACAACCTTGAAATAGTATTTTCTTTGACCTTTTCCTTTTTCTTTAGTCAGTAAAAGGTAAGTGTACATGATCAGCTGTACATCAACTCAAATCTATAAATTAAAATGGGGAGAGGAAATGAATGCAAGTATGAACTTAAAAGTTATGGAATTACTATCCCTTGAATCATGCCAAAATAGGTGTTCAAAAATATAGCAAGTTAGAAAATTTGGCTATGATATTGGCCTCTGAATTTCTATTATTCTCAAAAGTGCAATTGTCACCTACAAAATGGCAAAAAATTGTGAAGAGGAGATTCTATGGAATACAACCTCTTGTATTGGATATTGAAATCATGCATAGGTGATGCAATGGTAAAGTGTCTGGGCAACTGGGCTTAAGTAATAGTTTTCTGGATCATTACCATCTTGCAGGTAGGAATTGGATTGCTTGTGCTGCAACAACTGAGTGGAATCAATGGTGTTCTGTTCTATTCTAGCACCATTTTCAAAGCTGCTGGTAAGCTCAGCATCTCATTAAATTTGAACACCTTCTTACCTCATAGTGAAGCATTTGATAGTGCTGGTTAGTCTATTTCGCTTTCTTGTATGCTTGGTTTGGCCTATTTTACTCGGAATCTGCTGTGGTGTTCATTTCATTAGGAATCCATTGATTTGAATACTCAATTATTTACCTAAAGGAAAAAGGAACACTCAATTCTGTAAGATAATAAAAGATGTAGATGCAAGAAGCAACATATCCCTTTTACAGGTTGTATATTCTGAAATTATTTGGAGAAAATTCCCATATGGATAAGGTTCTTGGTGGTGTTAATTCTTATCTAATCACTAGTTCTTTATTATATGACATCATCTTTTTCTTGATTATATTTCATTCTTTTGTATAATCTCTCTCTCTCTCTCTCTCTCACACACACACACAGCTAGTGGTTATTTGGTTTTGCTTACATGGATATTCTTTGTATTTCAACTATCTCCTTTCTACAGTGCAATGTTCTAAGGTGTGGAGGCATGATGCAAAGCATTCGACTGTCTTAAGGCATGAAGCGTAAAATGCAAGAGGCATAAGCCTCATGAGCATGGATTTTTTAATTAATAAATAACCAAAATGAGATAAAATAAATAAGAATACAATAAATATCCCATAAATGGTAAAAATTTATCAGAAATTAGAAAATTTCATATTTGCAATTTCTAATAATAAAACCATTGCATATAAATATAGAATTGAAGTATTGTTGCATGAAGTATCATAATCCATAATTATACAAGTTTGATTAGCCATCAACAAATCACTTGCAAAGTTGCAAATCAAAATTTCAGAATTAAAAATTCACATAAATTGCACAACAAGTGTGTCATCTTATATTCAAATGAGCACAATGCATTAAAATAAATCCAAGCTATGGTGCCCCATTCTATTCATAACATTTTATTATAATATCACAATAAACAAATTTGGATGGTTCTCATCTTCTGTATGTTAATATTATAATGGAGACTGTAGAGCATGATAAAATGGTGGCCTCACTTTTATTTATAACATTTATGAAATTCTAAAATAAAAGGTAAGAGAATATAAGGCATATACCTCCAACATTAAGCACAACAGAGGTGTATGCCTCTATGCTGGAGGCATATGCTTCAAGCATCTATGTGCCTCCAGGCATTGTTTTTGGTGCCTTGCCTAGAACATGCCTCTAGGTATATGCTTCCAATGCCTTTAAAACACTGCTACACTATTCTTGGACTATTAAATTGTTGACTGAAGCAATGATTTAGGCTTCTCTTAATACTTACTAAGTTTTGTTCAACCATTTTAGACATTTTTATTTTTATTTTTTCAAATTTTAACAGGTCTTTCATCAACCAACCTTGCAACCCTTGGACTTGGTGTAATTCAGGTACCATATGAAACATTATATTTCAAAATGTTTCTTCAAGCAACTTGTATGCTAACGCTCGTGAGCAATGCATGTCATCAATTTAATGAGGAAAAAAATTGGTTATGTTCTGCTTAGGTTATTGCAACTGGAGTTACAACGTGGTTGGTTGACAAAGCTGGTCGTCGGCTTCTTCTTATAGTAAGTTTGAGCAAAAAAAGAAAGTCTCTTTCCTTATTGATATTAGAATAGAAAAAGTTAAAAAATGTTGTCGTTTTCTGCACAGGTCTCTTCTTCTGGAATGACTGTTAGCCTTCTCCTTGTTGCAGTTGTCTTCTATTTAAAGGTCACTCATTCATGGGCCCCATGTGGTTTCATTTGATTTATGGATATCTACTTCTTGCCTAGTATTTTTGAGGTTTCGTGATCTTGCATAAGAGATAGTGTCTAAATTGCTTTCTGATTTTCCTTTTCTACCGAACAGACTGGTATATCTGAAGATTCCCATCTTCATAGTTTGATGGGCATATTGTCACTGGTTGGACTAGTGGTATGTCTTCTTTTACAAATAATATCGTAACGTTTTATTCTTTTTTGATGTGTCTTTGTTAGTGCATTCTGAGCTTGTTTAACCATTTTTTTCTACAGGCGTTGGTGGTTTTCTTTTCTCTCGGAATGGGAGCTATTCCATGGGTTATTATGTCTGAGGTATGGGCATAGTTCATAAGCCTTGTTTTCCATACCAAGAAGAATAAGCTTGGTAACTTAATGGGACACATAACCTTTCTCTGGAAACAAGAATCAACCTTTAGAATGGAATTGAACACAAGTTCTCTGCCTGTGGGGTTGTCATTGTCAGATTGGATGCCATGTGCAGCCAGGGAAGCACTGAGCTAAAGTTGGATATTTGTTAATTATATCAGCAGTCATGATGATACTTCACCATTTTTGATGTCCTATATTACCTGATCAACAAGGAACTGACACAGTTGCTCTTCCATGCTTTGAACGAACAGAATTTCTGGGCTACCATGGACCTTATATTTAATTTTAGTTAGGAGTTCCTATGCATTATACAGGTTGTATTTGTGCTGCCACCTTCCAGTAACCACCTTACTAAAATAATGATGCTCCATCACACTATGCCGAAGCCCAACTAGCATGGAACTCTGAATGCCTCTATCTATAATGCACATTTGAACTCAAGGTGAACCCAGCCATAAAGATTGTTGACATGGTAAACCTAAAAAAAAACAAAACATCTTTGACATGGTTAGATCAGGACAAAACTTTTCTTGTTTGGTCTACAACCCCTCTGCAATTACCAGACAATATTCTTTACATTTTTTTTTTTTGTTTTGTACCTTTTTTGTGTTCCCATGTTTGTGTGTGTGTTCTTGGGAGGGGGGTCCAAGCACTTAGTGGGTAATTATAATAAAGGTACTCAAGTATGAAGTGTTGGCACTAACAGCCTTTGCCAGTTAATCTAACCCATATTGGCTCACTGTTCACAATTGTTATCTTTTCTTGATTAAGTAGACGTTGCAATCAAACGATGATTTATCTGTATCTTGAATATTACATGACAGATACTTCCGGTGAATATTAAGAGTCTTGCTGGTAGTACAGCAACTTTGGCCAACTGGCTCACATCCTGGGCGATCACAATGACTGCAAACTTGCTTCTAAATTGGAGCAGTGGAGGTTCTCTCTCTCTCCCTTTCTCTCTCTCTCTCTCTTGCTGATCTGCTCATTATTGTCAAAATGAACTGAAATGAACAGGAACCTTCACCATTTACACAGTTGTGAGTGCTTTCGCTGTAGTGTTTGTGGTACTCTGGGTGCCTGAGACCAAAGGGAGAACATTGGAAGAAATCCAGTGGTCGTTCAGGTGAGTTTTTGTTGGAAAATCGGGGTTTTGAAGACCTGTGCTTGCACATAGTGTGTAAAAGAAAACTTGTTTCATGATCTGGCATAGTATATCTTACATCAATCACTGTATGCAAGTCCAAGTGTTTAGTGTTGATCTATTACAATCCAGCTCCGTAATCCATTTGTATGATGAGGAGTATTCCATGAATAACAGATTGGCCAATCTTTTTTTTTTTTTATTAAAACTCGTGCAAATCAATTCAACAGTGATCACTAAAATTATGGAAATAAGTTTTTTTTCATCTTCTTCTTCTTGGCCTATATCTTTACTTCTAAAAATGTAGACTTATGTGCAGAGTACATGTAAAGCATAGTTGTCACTTGTCAAGGTGACACCTAAGCCATAAGGCACCCTTGGAGGCTCACCTTGATTAATTGAATAACAAAGCAAAACCAATCGACTACATTGAAAAGCATAGATCTTGTTAAAGTAAACAAGTATTCTTGCTTCAGAGAAAATGACTTGGGTTTCCAGCAGCAGAGCTGAGAGGACCTTTAGCAATCTTAAAAGGGTTTTTAAGGACAGAAGGAAGAGGCAAATAATGCTTCAGGCTGTGTGTCCGAACTTCGCTATAAACTCAGCAAAATGGTCGAGGTTGAGTGCCAGAACAGGCTTTCCGATAGAGGCATTGTTGTTAGGGATGACCAAAGGAGAGGAAAACATGATTAGCATGGATCGGCGAAAATCATGAAGAGAAACCAAAAACAGAAACAACGGAGATTTTGTCTGTCTCACACATGAATCACATCGCTCCTCTCATCCTTGAGCTGCGAAATCCCCCAGATGGAGACCTCCTCATGTGGTGGAAGTGGGACAACGACAACTTCTTTCTTCTCTGGTTCAGTCAGGGTAGCAAGGGCTTCTTCGACTACTTTTTTTGGCTTCCGCTGGCTTCTCTAGAGAAGAAGAGGAGATCACCACGATGGTTTCTTCAATGGCGCAAATTTGAGACTGATAGGCATCCCTTACTTAGACCCAATACCAAAATCTTGTAGAGCAAGCCATTTTAGAGTCATCATACTTGTGTCGTCGCCAAGAGGAAACGTCAGTGCTATTTGACCGTTGCAGCGATTGAGAGGAGGTGCGAGCAGGGAGTTTTACATTGATGGAGAAGATGAGTTTTACATCGATTTCATCGGTGGTAACTTTCCACCGAATTTTGATGTAAAACATGCCTAGAGCGGAGTTTTACACTGATCTTTGATGTAAAACAACACCTCAATCAAACGTCAGCAAAATCGGACCGGGGTGTAAAGTTTACCCCGGTTCTCATTTACACCTTAAACAAACGCGGCTTAAACTAAAATATTCATTTTTTTGTATCTTTATATACTAATTTCTTTTTATTATTTTCTTATTTGTTAGGGTATTGATTAGAAATTTTCTCTAAACTGAAATATTCGTTTTTTATAAACTTATATACTAATTTCTTTTTATTATTTTCTTATTTATTAGGGTCTAATCAATATATAATTCTATATTGCTGTGTTATACCTTTAAAGACTTCAAAACTTGAACCAATAAAAACTTAAAATTTTGTCCCTAATCCACCTTAGCGCCTTGAAAATTATGATATAGAGGGATGGGAGATGTATAGGGTGGCTACTCATTTTTGGGTTTCATCTGTTTAATCGGAGGCAAGGACTCTTCTGATTTGTCTGTTATAGAAATTAGAAAACAGGGCCACTCCATATGAACCAGGTGACCTACCTTCTTTATTGCTTTAGTATATAGCCATTTCGCCCAGTTGCCTGCAATCACATTTGCACTATTGTTCGTAAGACGAGTGTATAGGGTACATTTCAGAAGTGGTGTAATTTAACTTGTACAATTGAGCACCAAAGCATGTTGATTTTTGTATTAGGTCACCTTTCCTACTAACTGTAATCTGCTCTCTTCTCTGTTAATCCAATTAAAATACGCCACCTATCCCTACCCATGTTGCATGAGATTTAACATTCCAACAACTCATCAAATCTTAACCTCCATTAAAATAAATCATTTTTTTAGTTACCCACAAAACATTCCTTTCCCCTTTCTCTCCTGTCTGCCAAGGACGAGTTTTCATAAATGCAAATTTCAAACCAAGTTACCCACAAAACATTCCTACCCATGTTACAAATTTCAAAACTCTCTCCTTTTTTTAGTTGCCCACAATAGATTGGTTAGAAGGAGTTGGGTTTTATTTTGAAAATTTGAGAAATAATGGAGGGTAAATTTGATATTTTATTTTTTTTGTTACAATTTACTGATAACGACAATTGTCAAAAACAATAGGGATACTTTAAGACAATACTAAAACAATAGGGATATAGTTAGTCAATTTCCTAAACCTTAGGGGTAGTTTAAGAAATTTGCCCTTAAAGTTAGTAGGAAATCTAGACAACCAATTTAGGCATGCAAATGATCCAATCCAAAATCTGATTATATTTTGTCGAATTTGAATATCCTTTTATCGTATTTTTGGATTGAATTGGATCGGATAGATCCAATTTTTAATTGGATCGAATTTGGATCACCCCTATCCAATCCAAAAGAATCTGATATGTGTGTATGTGATTTATGTATTTGTAAATGCGTTTATATTTCATTTTTGTAAATTTGTTTTTATAAAAACACATGTATATATGATGGAAATAGTTAAAAGAATACTTGTATTTTTTGTTTTTCTTTATATAAACTGTTATATTTTCTTTTCCTTTTAATAATTGATTATTTTTTTTAAAGTAAATTGGATTGGATCATATTCGGATATCCGACATTCTTAACAGATTTGGATTTGAATCAATATTTGTGAGATCTGATCAAATTGAATTCAAATATACCACGATTCAAATCTGATCCGATCCATTTGCATCCCTACACCTATTAAGTGATGTGTCTTGGATCCTGATTCTCTTGAAGTTAGGAAAATTTGGAGCAATTAAAAAAAAAAGATCTTTTGTTACTCTCAAGAGAAAATCTCAGTGAAATCTAATTTCTAGGGTAAAATTCTAGGAATTGTACATCTAGACATGGAAATCCCACTTCCTACCCCTTAGGTCGCGTTTGGCTTGATAGAAAATACTTTCTATCAACTGTTTGTTTCTTGTCCATTTTCTATTAAACCTATCATAGCCTTAAGCTCTTGGGAATCATGATCAAGCACCATGGGGTAGAATGCCTAAGAAAATAATGAATGAACAATTAATGGGAGATCCTGTTTTTTACAGGTCATGGATCAATTGAGTTCTCAATTTTTAATAGGTTTGTATTTAAATCCCTATGACTACCACCACTCTCTCTTTAAAAAAGAGAAAGGAAAGAAAGAAAGTAAAACAATCCAACAAAGGGCTTATGGTAACGCCTACCTACCTTGGACATATTATCTTGGGTTTGGGCTTTGAGGATGCATAATGTGTGATGTGTTTTGAGGCCTTCATACAATGTTATGTATTAGGAGGAACTCCTGGATCAGGACCAACCACAAAACTATTCCTTTCGTAACATAATGCCTACAATGTTAGCGAGTTGGGTTCGACTATGATATACCAAAAAGACATGATGCCAATCAACCGGTATCATAAAAGAGATGACCAATCCAGTTATAATCATCAAAATTCACTGGAGTGGTTTTATTGGTCAAAACTCTTTTAATACTACGTCTTTCCAGTACCATAGATGTTCTTTAGCCAGCTAGGATCAGATAAAGTATAATCATTTACTAGGTGTTTTGTCAACATGTATGAATTTGCATCCCCAAATTCCAAACCCAAGATACTTCGTTTTGATTTGTCTTAGGGTTCATTTGATCATATGTATGAATTTGCATCTCCAAATTCCAAACCACAGTTTCAACTCCTCATATCATAAATTTTCGCATACTACCATTTGCCTTTATAGAACCATTTGTTGACTTTGAAATAAATAAATAATAAAGCGTAAATTTGATAGTTTATCCAAGCTAACTCTTGACAGAGGTAATGTGGGTCATGTTTTTAAATTCAGCTAAATGATTTTTAAAATATTAAAATAATAAAAGTAAATGTTAGATGGGTATCTCTGATGCGAATTGTTTTCTAGTTGCGAGTTCCAACAATAAAACAAAACCAATTGGTTTGCAAATAAATTGCTTCTTAAAACCGGCTTCAAAAAAATTGTTTCTTAAAACTATAGACACAGAAAACATGTTCTTGGTTATATGTGTGTTTTTTGTTTTCAATACTGAAAAAAAAACGCATTTGGATTATTGGTTTAATTAAGAAGCATATTGTCATTTAACTATTTAATATTTTGGCAACATGGTTGGTTTATTTTTTGAAAACAAAAATGACTGTTTTTGCTGATGTTGCAGTTGTTTTTTGTTTGGAAAAACAAAATCATACACATAGGCATACACCCCATAATTTATATACAACAAAATTTATTTATGTTTTAAAAAACTATTATTTTGATGGTTTCGAAATCATGTATTGTTTTTTTTTTTTTTGAAATAAAATGAACTTGTTTTTTGCTTTTCAAATAAACAAAAGTACATTTAAATATGTGTTTTTGCCTTTTTGTGGGCAGTGTGGCAATTTAAAAAATAAATGAAGACAAAATATTCATGTTTTAGAACACCCCTTAGTGCACATGGAACAAATGCCAAATTTTCATGCAAATTTTTTTACCCAAAATTTACCCTCGTTGAGTGGTGGTCACTGTAAATTTTATTAATTTGATCAAAAGAATCCTAGGGTTGGGGGGGGTGGACTTAAATACCTTATCCTTCTCAAGTGGCAGAATAGCTCATAGAAAACCCTCTAGTTGGCCAAAAAATTAAACAAATTTAGAGCAAAGCCAAGCTTTCATGCAATTAAAAACCTTGAGTTCCGCTATCCACCTACCAAAGCCTTTTCTTTATTCGGATGCAATTCTTTACTGGCTACTGAGTTTTTCAACAACCTCCCAGACGATTCTAACTTAGTTTCTATATCATACAGGCCGCAATGAGGTCCATTTGGGGAATCCCTAAAGCTGTGTTTGCAATGAGGTCCTTACCTTTCCCTACTTTTTCTTTCAAACCAAACATCGCCTACGGGTATTATTTTGGTAAATCCAACTTACTCGTGCTGATTGATTATCAGACCGAGTATGAACACAAGGCTAGGTCCATGTTGCTGTTATGCTGCATCGAATTGAGGTTATAGTAAGATATCCTTGGCAGATGAATTGGGGTGAATCTCGGATCCGAGACTATCCGTTTGACGCAGTGGGTCCTATTTAACGTTGGGTTTCAGCCTTTTAGCACGGGACATGTGGAAGTACAAGTAATTGGAGCCCAAACCCGTTATCCATACACGGCTGTAGGCCCAATCTTAAGAATTGGGAAAAGGAAAAGCAAAGGAGTCAAAGACTTGAAGACTTTAAGAGGCCCCATAACAATTGGATTGGTTCATATTGGACTTGGGCCATTCAAGGTGGGATATGGCGTATTTAGCTTCCAAGTTCCAACCCAATGTCAAAAAAGTTCGGCCTTCTGTGAGGGACCCCAGTACTCGATCATCATTTCTCTAAAGGCAAAAGTTTAGCTTGCCAGTTGTTCATGTTCAGAAGATCTAGTGGAACTCTTCCAAAGTTTTAGATGGCTGAGAGACTGAGAGTAGTCGTATGTTGATGCAGTATTTTGGTGTGGGCTCTTCATCATTTTGAGCCTCTGGATTTACAATTTGTAGCAATTACCAAAGCAGTTTAGTAGGATCAGATCGCAATCACAGTCGTTTTCGACCCAGCGCCCAGAGTTTGGTCAATACCATTCCACAAAAAAAGGACCAAAAAAGAACAGAGGTAAGCTAAGTTGCATCCATGTAAGTGAACGAACAAAACGAACAAAGTTCAGTTTCTCCGCAACGACTGGTAGATCAGTAGTCGTGTGCATAAATATTCTAATCCTATCACGTTAATACCCAGAAGAACAAGAACAAGAACAAGAACAAGAACAAGAACAAGAACAAGAAATATTATATATTATAGGATTTCGCTCAATGGAAGGATTATCGATCCAGAAGAACAAGAGCAGCAGGCAAGAAAGGTAATATGGACCCAATAGAAATTAAAGAACTGATAGAAGTTAAACAACATCATATAATTATGGCTATTTCACTCCATCTGCTATCTATAAGGACGGAGAAAAAAAAACAGAATGAAAAGTATACGATGACCATCATTGGCATCATCATCTTCATGTGTAGTCATGAACGAGGCTTGGCCTATCCGGGACATTGAGACGCCATGAAAGGAAAGGAATACCAGTGGTGCTGGAATCTCTATCGTCGTCTTCGATGAACCTGAATTCATTACCCAGAGCCGGGGACATGGATGCTATCTTCTGGGTCTGGATGTGGTGAGTCCATGAGTGGTATTGATGGCTCATGAACTGCTGTGGCTCCATGAGCAGCGCAGAAGCAGCAGCAGTACTGTTTGTCGTGGTTGTTGCTCGCTTTTCTTCTTTCTTGTAACGGATTCCACACGCATTGCAAAGCGACTGCACCAAAATACAATCGTTGGATACTCACCCGGAGAACGATCGAAATATCACAATTCACAATTCGAATATAAAACAATAAAAAAAAAAAGAAAAAGAAGCAGACAATGAACACGATCAACAAGGAAAAGGAAAAGAAAAAAGAGAAAACAATTAAATATCGGTGATATACCAGTGAAAAAGACTAACCTTGGGGCCTCTGGGTCCATTCCTCCAAAGTGGTGTAGATGTCGTGTCACAGTTGGCGCACCTTCGAGCCAGGAGCGGATCCCCATTCAAGTTATTGAGTACAGCGCCAGTGTTGCTGCTACCTCCTCGGCTGCTCTTATGGGTCACTGATGATTGAGGAGGCTGCTTGGTCTGAAATATATCCCAGCAAAGATTAGACATGCACGACGAGCCAGACCGTCGGTGACGACCTATCGATTTATCTTCCGTTTGGCGGGTGGATGGCGTTCCTAAAGAGAGAGTACAGTCCACAGAAGCTGAAGAGGAAGTGATCGGGTATGTGTCCATCTCATCGATTGGATTGTGGTTCGCCATGGAGAATAACATGGAGAAGGAGCTTCCCTGATGAGGGTGGAAAACACCACATGAGCAAGGACCGACCGTCGTATTACAGTGAGGGCTGCTGCACCGATGCATCTCTCGTTTACCTCTCTCTCTCTCTCTCTCTCTCTCTCTTATATTGGTATTGGGTTTTGATGGGTATTCCTTTTTTTCTCTCGAAGTTCAAAGTACAGAAAGGGAGGTCGAAAGGGTATGCATTATAAGGGAGAGTTCGAATGAAAAATGGATGGAGAATGAGAATAGAAACCGCTGTAGGGATGTAAAGAAAGAAGCAGAGGGAATGAATAAGTAGTACCAGTAAAAATGAGAAGCAAGTATTTGTAGTCAAGTTATGGTAGCGGTAGCAGGAGTACAAGAAAGCAACACAGTGACAGACAAATAATGTAATAATCTAAGCTTTGAAAAGGATAGGAAGAAAGAGTGAGAGTGTACGAGAGGTCTGAGAGAGCCTGAGATCAGTGTTGTCTGTTAGCTTTAAAAGCTAATATAATGGCGAAAGACCAGTCAGCACTCCCAGTCATCCACGTTGTCGTGATTTGGTTACAAATGAATAAACTATAGATGGAGATGTGTAGGGAGTGATGAGGAAGAGATAGAGAAAGAAAACTGCCGGGACTACATGTAAATATATACAGAGAAGGACAAGTCAGGTGGGCAGTCAGTGAAACAGCCTGTGTGAGGATGAGTGAGAAGGTCTCTTCCGCCCCTCGGCCCCTGTTTTGCTTGCCAAGTATTTATAACTAGTGCTACACTGCCACTGGTAATACAGGTAATTACTAATTTGTAGTTGTGGAAGTAGTTCAAATGTATACACTTTTGTGTGTGTGTGAGAGAGAGAGAGAGATGGCGATGGAGAGAGAAGGGAGTAGTAGAGGCGCAGCAAACAATGCGAGTCAGAGAGGCAGATGGGTTGGTCATTGGGTAGTCAAAAGAACCCACGTGACTCCCGGGAACAGTCTTCCAGGGATCTGCCTTCTCCGATCACGAGGCGTAGCCTCAAACAAAGACATCAAACCTGTGTCCGTATCCGTATTCTGCTCTGCTGTCACTGCCAGCCTCCCAAGGAAAAGGGAAATACATGCATTCATCTCCATGTGTGTGTGTGTGTCTCTCTCTCTGTATCTCCATCTCCACTCCATCTCTATCGATCTACCAGTAGTAAGCAATTCCCCTGTTCTCCTTTTCTCTGAGTCTGCACTGTCTCTGTCTGTCTCTGGACTGCATTCCAGAATCCCAAACACTTCCAGTCCTCCCTACCATTCCTTGGTCCATTACATTACCATGGCCGCTCTTTCGGTCTTCAGTCTTCTCCCATGGCCAGTCTTAAGCTTATTTCCGTACTGCTTAATCACGTGACTCGTTACATCTCATCCCGTATTATCAGAGTCCAGTCAGTTCGTCATCATCGCCACCTCGACCACGAATCTAGACTTCATCACAAGCTGGATTGATCGAAGATCCGGAGATTTTGATTGGAAAACGAAAAAACAAAAGTGTCAAGACGAAATATACTCTGCAATCATCAAAGCAACATCCCTTCATGGGTTTAGCGAAAGAAGGAAAAAAATCCTTCTCGAGTCAAAGACAAAAAAAAAGCAAAAATCATAAAAGAAAAGCTAAAAACAATAAATTAAAAAAATAATAAACAAAAGTAACCCACCCAAAAACCCCATCATCGCCGAGCCCGACCAAACCCGGCCCCCTCCTCCTCTCTCTCCTTCTCCCATGTCGACAGATTCGATCCACCCAAAAGATTCAAAAATCAAAACTCTGTCTGTCAAAGAATCAGATCGTCTAGAGATTGGCGTCCCTGGTTCGACAAAGAAACGGGAATACTACCGCTTTCCCAAAGATGCTCTCCAACCATTCGCTTTGTAAACTACGACCAACGACGATCTACCCAAGACAAAAACCCTAGACAAACACACCCATATTCTCTACTATACCCCATTTGTTTATTTTAAAATATTGTTAATTATGATAGCTCGTGTGTCTAGAAAATCTTAAGTAATCCATAATTCTATGGGATTTGCCGATTTCTTTGCTTAGACATCTCTGATCTCTTTTAAGTTTCATCCATAGAAAAAAAAAAAGACAAAGAATAATGAAGTAAAAAGAAAAACCAAAACCCCCACCATGTGTCCTCACCCTTTTCGGTACATGCTGACTAATCATGATGTTATGTGGCTCGTTGGATTCTGTGGAGCCCACACCTCGTCTTTCCGAGATAAGCCGATGATGTCGGCTTGGACCGACAAACAGAATAATAAAATAATAAGTACCAATCCACGTGCCACGTGTACATAATGTGGATCCCTCCTGCATGCATGCAGATGTGTTGGGGCCTATAGAAGCAGAAGACCTGACCAGGCTACGCTAAAATAATTGTGAGAAACAATAATTATAAATAAACATTCTTCTCCTCAAAAGCCCCCAAATGGGGTTACACTTACACATACTGGTATGTGTGTATAGTTGCTCACTATTAAATCCTTATCTCTCAGAATCTCAGTCCCTCTCGCTCTGTTTGAAGACATAAAGAAAGAAAAGGGTTGGGATTGGTCCAGTGATTATGTACCGTTATCTTTATCTGCCAGACAATGTTAAAGTAGTAATATTTTAATGGTGTATCAAGTAGACAGTAGACACGGCAATAAAGCAAGCAACGAAGACCCCAAACAGCCAACAGGGCCAACATTTGAACAGTCCGTTGCTGCTTCTTAGACTTAGATCTAGTAAGGACTAAGGACTAGAAAAGTTGCGCCGGATGGGGAAAGAAAACCCACCAACAAGCCGTCCTATGTAATCAAAGATATATTCCACTTGGCATCATGACGTCTAGCTACCACGCTATAAACCTCTAATTGTCTCCTCTTTAGTGGCGGGACGGGGTGCTGCTCTCTTCTCTCTCCCCATTCTTTCCCTTTTATTGATATTGACTAATGAATCAATAATTCAACAACGCTATCACCCTACCACCAACACCAATTCTTGATTCTTCCCTGTAATCAACACTCCGCGGCTCTGTGTATCAGCACTCGGCAGCAGTTAGTCAGGGCAGTTAGCCATTTTTTTTTTTTTTTTCTCTCAGGGGTCCTTCACCTGGCCCATCAATCTATCTACTCAGTCAGATGGGCTTCTATCGGCTTAGACAACTTTTCTATGGATTTTCAGAGGTTCTGGTAAGAAATGGACAGAGACAAGCCTTGGGAATTGAAGGGTTAGAGGCTTCCAAGTTCCAACCCTTCTTCCATTAAATACATGCTTCTTCTCTTGGACAGAGGGCCCATCCATCAAACAATCCCCCCCCCCCCAAACCCACACCCACCGCTAACCGATTTCACACGCATCAGGGTTTGAGATGGGGCCCTTTAGCAATATTCTTTACCCGGCCCATTGGATCATCTACCCAAAACATTTTTAGGATACTGACTGTCATTTGCATTAACATTAACATCGCTTTCATTAGCCAAAAAGAAAAGTGATATGATGATATAAAAATAAGTTGGAGTCACTGCTGAGTGCTGATCGTCAACATGTAATTTTACATGATTATTGAATTATATACACCTAAGCACATAGTTGTTTTGTGATCTGGCTGGTATTGCTTGGAAATTAAAAGCAAAAGCAAATATTCAAACATCAGCTTTTAAAAGCAAATAAATAGGGAGCATGGCATGCGGTTGAAAGGCAAAAAACTTATATCATCCTGCGCTTTAACTAATCACAAGCAAGACCAGAAAAGGAAAAAAAAAAAAAAAAAAAAGATATACGAGAGATAAGCGTGAAGAGACAGATGCGAAAAATTCCAGAAGGTTCCGGTACCGGTACGTGATAAATAAGCATGTACTACTGTATAGTAAGAAAAGAATAAGGGAGGATTCTTTTATAAATGTATTCCATTTTTCCAAGACCTTTACTGTTCAATTGCTTAACTGTATATGTTTTATCTCTAGGACAACTTGAATAAAACAATGGATCATGATGTATAACTGTTAAATCCGAGCCTACTGACATATAACGTGGAGAGTTTGCTTTATCATAATAAGGGAAATTATCTAAAATTTACCATGATTTTTTCACCGATTCTCTTAAATTTATGGTAACTTTTTAAAACATCTAAAACTCACCATATCAATAAGATAATGTTAACTTCACTAACAGATGTGGCTAATTTACTATTTTATCTTCTTTTATGTTCGACTCATTTTACAACTTGGGTCAATAAACTTTAAGAGTGCTCTAATGGATAGTGAATTTTGAAAAATAAAAACTGATTGACTTGATGAGTTTTGAACAATTTCCATAATAATAATATATTATATATACAAATATATTTTATTTTATATAACAATTTTAATTTCATAAGTTGATATGTTGATACATGAGTCAACCCATGTATGAAAATTACCGTTTTACGCAAGGCCTTAATTTATAAAAGAAGGCATAAATCAAACCAAACCAAATCTAGGGAATTAAAATGAGGTTCATACCCTTTTTTTTTTTAATAGCTCCAAAGCCAAGCCAAAGCCCAACCTAGTTTGGACCAATATAATATTAATATTTATGTACTAAATCCAACCCCTGACCCGGCCCAACCCATGATCATCCCTTATTTGAACACGCCCAACTCCTGACTGAACCAACATCAAATGGATTGGCAATAATAAGATATTAACTAAGAACGATGCATTTGGGTTATTAATAAGGATAGCTAAATAATCTGTATTCCCAAGTTGATCAAATATGCAGAAAAGTTGGTACTGACTACTGAGAGACTTGGAATTCAGCGGAAGTATTTGTTTTAACCGTCCAAGTTCTAGCAACTGAGCACTGACGACCTCGCATACGAAAACAGACGGTTCCTGACTGCACCAACCTTTGAATGTTTGGATTTTGTGAAAGAGGGAATTATTGCAAATTGAAACGCCAGAAGGGGCGACCCATTATTTTCCTTAGATGAGTGGGACAATTCAACTGGACAGAATTTTGGAACCATGGTACATGTACAATACACATATAGTGGTTAGCGTTCCTCTCAGTACACTCTGCCACAACTCTATCTCAGATCACCTTTTTTCATGTCTTTCTTAGGTAAATCAAGACAGGAAACAATCATACAAAGAAGGTAAGGTCATGTTTGGATGCAGCTTTTTGAAAACTTAATGTTCCTGTTCTCTCTTTTATCTTTACCATTCTTGACAGAATCCATGAAGCCAGAGGGTATCCCACTGTCGAATCCCCCCTTGGGTATATGCTCTACTTGAGTACATTTGCAATGGCTAAACAATGCCTACGATGATAAGAACATTTTGGCTGTTGGACTGTTTCCATCGCATGGCACGTTACCCCACTAAGCCCACTGGTTAAAACTTAAAAGAAATATTATTGTAATTACATTTTTACCCCGCATCCATTGTTGCATTAAAATGGGTTATGTCCAGCTAAATTTTCTTTTTATTAGGCTATGTTTTGTATGATAGAAAATAGGATAGAACAGAACCTTAAGAATTTTCCCTTTAACTTTATATTTATCAAGGCTGTTTCTCTCTCATATTTTATAAACCACGCATACCCTTAATAAATTTCTTGAAAATATTTTTAAGCCTAAAAATAAGATTAAATTTAATTTAAACTACGACAATAGAGGAGTCAAAAGGGTCCAGCTACTATTCAGTCGGCAATGGTAAAACTTTGGGTGTTGGAAGTTTTTTTTTTTTTTTTTTCTTTTGGGCATGAGACAGTACCATGGACGTAAG